GAGCTCTCGGGCTTCTGGTAATTTCTTGGAGCTTTATCTGGTCTGATCTTCAGGAAATCCACTCTTGAAAGGATGAAGACTTCAAAGAAAATGAGTTATAACCTCCCAGGCTGATGGGCAGCAACAGTTGCTGATCTAAGCCGGGTGTTGGCGCTCAGCTGGATGCTCCTCAGCAGCTTCTTTTGATCAGCTAATCAATGCATTGATCGATGCATTTTACCAGGCTGGCACTTCAGTTCTCTGAAGGAACACAGGGTGTACTTACTTTCCCACATGACTGTACTGACATTCTTCATTCATTGATGTTCCACATGTTGTGTTTTTGTCCTCTGTGGTTAAACTTTGAACTCTCTGCTTCTCTTTGTTGTTATGAGCATTAAATACTCATGATGGTTATAATTTATTAGACTGGTGACAAAAACCTGGATTATTATTTTTGTTTTATCTGCATGAAGTTCACCGGGGTGTTTTTAGAGTGTTTGTTTACATTCATGAGACATAAAATGTGGATTTGTGTTGCTCTCATATTTTCTCAGTTTTGCTGAGATTGTTTCATCACTTTTTAAAGGCTGATGCAAACATAATGAGCTGCTTATCTTTCCCTCAGTTATCGTTGTAGTAGAAATGGGGAAGTCTTGTAAAGGTCGTCTATAGTTGTGATGATAAATTGCTGAATTAAAAATAACTGCTTATTTTTAAGTTGACTGAAAATATAATTTTTGAAACGTTGAAAGTTGCACAATGTCATCATTTAGTTTTCTCTGGCAGTCAGAGGAAAGTGGCCTGTCGCAGGATCATTTGGTTTCTTTACCTCATCTGTTGAAACCTGCTCAGGTGGAGAAACGTCAGCATGAGGCTCGGTGCTGAACCTGCAGCTCTGCAGGAAGGAAGGTGAAGTTTGACTGATCGGCCACGTTTGTTGTTTTGGGCAAATTATTAAAATGTTGCAAAAAAGAGCGTAATGTCGTCATGCCTGCAAAAGACAGGAAGTCGCGGTTGCTAACTAGCCTGGACCAGAGAGTCCTTCCCTCCCAGCTGGAGGTTCAGTCTAACACTGTCTTCTGAGTTTGATGCCTCTGGTAAGGCAGTGGATGGGAGCGACCGCTGCATCAGGACTAAAACTCAAATGTTTCCAGTGGAGGACAGAAGCTCAGTGTTATGTCATCTGGCCTCAGCTGGTTATTTAAGTCTGAGTCTTTATGAACATCCCGTCAGATCATCTCTTGGCAAAATGTTTCTATCAGTTTGCATTTTTGTCCAGAACATCTCAGTCATTTGAGAAATGTAGCTTTTACATTTTGACCTATAATTTACAATTTGACACATTTATGCAAAGATTTGGATATTTTTAGGAGTGATGATAAACATTTGATCAACTGAAGCTCATACCATAATAAATCTACACAGAATGCTTGTAATTTTAAACAGGAGTGTTTCTACCAAACCTCATCACAGCACCGTCCTCTGAATTATTATCATTTAATCTCCAGTATCTTTGTCCAGCTTAAAACCGTCAGTAAAGTCGAGCAGCCGGCTGTAACGAGTCCTTCAGGTCTTCCTGTCAGTTGGTTTTAAATCTTGATGCTCACCAGAGAAACGATCTGATCCATCTTTAAGTGTCCAGCAGCAGCGCAGACGTGGGGGTGGAGAGAAGCAGATGCAGTGGAGGATGATGGGTAGAGTGAGGGTGTTGTGTGGGCAGAGATGGATGGATGGGTGGATGGGTGGTGAGAATGACAGAGAGATCGTGGAGAGAGTAGGAGAGATGGAGGGATGAAAGATGGTCCATCTGGGAGGAACTCCTCCCTCCAAACACACACACACTGCGGTGTCATCTGGTGTTTACCTTTCACACTGAACCGTGTGATCCAGACAGGAAGAGACGGAGGAATCGGAAACGGCTTTGATCACTCACAGACCTCGTCTGCTCTTAGAAGGAGGATTGTTTGCTGACAGGACCTCCAGGCTTTTCAGCGGCTTTTACTTGATGGTGCTAGCAGATGCTAACAGATGCTAACAGGTGCTAACAGGTGCTAACAGGTGCTAGCAGATGCTAATCCTCTCTGATGTATCGCACAGTCACAGGGAAAACTAAGTGCACCCTTTTCTAACAGATTTAACAGAAACAGCATCAGCCAGGTGCTGCTGAACAAACTCACTCCATAAACTGATAAACAGGAAGTGCTACCAGTGCACTTCCTGTTTCATCAAAATCTCCAACTGTTGCTGCAAACTGGTTTGGGAAGGGTTAGAAAGCAACAGCAACCCAAACACTTTTACTGCAGAAAGATATTATTTAGAAATGGAGAACATTAATAAACACTAATAGTTTTCTGGTTTTCCTTTTAAATGTTTTTCCTTTCCAGAAACCAGCAGCTAACAGTTTAGCATCGGAGCAGGAAATCGGTGCTTCCAAAAGCTGATAATGTGACAACTAGGAGTAGAAATGTGAAGCAACAGGAGTCGGTTTAGTGCAGCTGTGATCAGTTAATAAAAAATAAAAGAAAGAAAATAACGCAGAGATTAAAAGTCTTCACTCTGCACTTCTCTGGTTGATGACCTCTGACCTGCTGCTGCTGCTAACCTGTTAGCATGTCAGCCATGTGATTGCTGTCCTCATGCACTGGGGCGTGTGGATGATTTTTCCAGTCTAGCTTGTATTTCAGCCTCCCTCTGTGTCGCAGGCTGTAGTGGAGAATGACCCCAATGTTTCATATCCGTTTTCCATTTGCATCTCTGATAGCATCTCATATGCAGCAGATGTCCTAATTATGGTTTAATGAGTTTGTTTGCTGTTGCAGCTGGGGAGCTTCACATTCTACTTTTATTTTCCTCAGACAGACGCTGATCGTAGGAAGGCCTGCCATGCTCCGTCTCCCTGCCTCCTTTTTGTTTTGACCAGTAAATTTATGTAACAATCCGAGGGGAACCAATTTTATTCAGCTCAACATTTTTTAAGACCTTAAAGTCACAAACAGTGGATTTCTGTTTCTGCTACATTAAGCATCACAGCACAGATCAGAAACTCAGCAGTTTGTGCAACATTAGTTACCTTTCTTTCATCCTGGCCTAAAGCCACATTTATAAAAGAAATGTTCTCTTTTTGAGCATTTTCAACCTCATCTAAAGTTTTTGAGATGTTTGAAATGAAAACATAATATTTTGGACAACAGGAAGTGAAGCAGAGATCCTCGGCTCTTTCTCCTCCTGCTTACTGACCTGCTTCAATAATTGATAAAAGCGACTGGCTGGTATTGAGCTCAGTCCATGGGCTCAGCCAAGCATTGCATATAAACACACACACGCTCGTATACACACCTACACACACACGCACACACACACATATGAGGTAATTTACATAAACAGATTAAATATTTTCAACATTTCAATATTTCTGTCTTGCTTAATGACAAACATTTTAAAGTAAAACCAAAAGTTTGACACATTTGGTTGTTTTGGTCTCCTGCAGATGGATTCATTCTAAAATATCATTTATTTCATGTTTCTTCTGTTTGCAGATGAGGCCATTTGCTGAATTTTTCTGTTGCATTTGTGTTTTGCAGTGTTTTGTCCCAGTCAGCCACCGTACCAGAGGTACAGAACCAGGAAGAGATCCCAGCTGGACCCACAAGTTAAACCTAAATGGGAAGTTTTACTGCTGGATGATTTAATGTCTGGTTGCCGTAGCAACCAGGTAAAGCAGCAGATCGTGTGACATGTTCATGTTACGCCTCTGTGAAATCATCAGTTGTGTTTTCGTTCAACATGAACCAGTTCAGTTCAGTCAGGTTAGAATGAATAGGTTCATGTTCATAGTTCACTAGGTAAACATTCACAGCTTCAACATGAACTAGTTCTCATTTGTTTATCATATTGACATGAATGTGATGACATCATCATCCAGGCAGCATAAATATGATGTCATCGCTGCACTGGGACCCTGGCAAACGACTTATTTTATCCTGTTTCCTTTAAATAAATTTCAAGTTTTAGGGCATCTATGTTTGACAGAGTCACTTTTTAAACTGCTGCGGATTTTCTGCATAAAATATGCAACGATAAACACAGAGAACGTCTTTGCTCTTTGTCATGGCGGCCATGCTGGCCGGGATGTTCACTTCACTCCTCCAGACCTCATTAAGGATGCAGCCGTTCTTGCAGATTCAGATGAGGTCAGAGTGAAGGTGTCCTGACCTGAGGCGTCGCCCATTAGCCTCTTCACAGCCATGAACTGACCCACAGCGGCTCCTCCCTCCAGCCGTCGCTGCCATGCTCATCTGGCATCTCTGTTCAAATGGCAGCTGATAGATCTGGTTCTGACCGGGTTCTAAAGAGGTTTTTTATTGGTGTTGATTCACAGCTTGACCACATTTGGGATGTTTTTACCAGACTCAGCTGCAGATCAGGAGACGTTTTTCCCTCACGGTTGTTTTTCTTCCAGGGACATTTTCAGGATGGAACGACATTTAAAAGTTCATCAATAATAAATACTGGGAGGAGGCTACAGACAATGATTAATTCACCAAATCAGTCACTTGGTCATTTGCATGATTTAGCAGCAGAGCATCATGTCCTTGTGCTGAGGGCAGGGGGCGCCGGTGCGTATTAACTCCAGTCTATCACGTTTGGCAGGTTTGCTGACTGAATCCTTTCACTATGCAAACATCTGGTTTTAAATTCCTTCTAAAGATTTTTCTTAATGACAGAAAATCTGTATTTTCAGCCAGCAGAAACATTTTTTTCCATAATCTGAGATCAGAAGGTTAATGGCTGTTAAGACGTGTTCATACCTGTGATGGTGAGTCGCCACACAGATTTACAGAAAGAGTCTTTGTCTGATGACGTGAGTGTTTTTCTGGGAAATATTTCATAATGGACTCAGTCTTTGCGTTCTCACATTCAATCAGGCTGATACCAGAAACCGCCACACTATTAACGTGAGAGCAATCCCTGAAATCTCCTCTGCAGCCGAACTCATCCATCCTGCTCCTGATTCATCCCTCGCTCTCTGACTCCAGGCCTCCACCCTTTTCTCCACAGCTCCATCCGATCCCTGCCCTCCCATCCACCTCACTCTTTGCCCTCTTTCTTTTCCTCCTTGCCTCGTTTTGATCCCTCGCTCCCTCTCTCCGTCCTGCTGGCTCAGCTGGTATAGAAGCGGCCTTTGTTTCAGCCGTGTCCTCTATCCTTTGAAGGAGGAGAGCGGAAAGCGAGTCAGAGGGAAGAACTGAGGCTGGGTGTGGGTAAAGAAATGATGAAATGTGGGAAAAGAGAGAAAGTGGGTCAAAATGTAAAGAGATGAGGCGGATGAGGGAAGAGCGCGTCTGTGGGTCGATACTCTGGGTTGTTTGGGTCACTGATACCAGCAGCGTCTGAGGGCAGGTTTCCTGTGGGAGGATCGTCCACAAAGCGGATCATCTCAGTTAAACCAGCCAGTTAATTGATCATTAGTTTCTTCTGTATTCAGTCGATGCTGCAGAACTCGGCTCTCCGCCGCTGACAAAATGATGATTTTAATAAAGCAAAAACACTAAATATGACTTTGTGTTTGTTTCGTAGTGAGGACAGTGGAGCGGCGGTCAGATCCACCATGCTGAGTCCCCGTTGTCACATGTGAATCCTGTAACATGTGCAGAATGCTTCTACGTCTCTGAAGGTAAAACATCAGGTTCTTCAAATTCCTTCAACGTTAATTTGACAGAAACCCGGGACTCACTGTCCATCTGCGTCTTGAGAGGTTATTAATAAATGATGATTTATCCTGACTGGAATTCACCGAACAAACACAAAATGGTGCCTGAAACCTCAGCTGGAGAAAACAGAGGAATCAGAAGGCTGCAGCATTTTCTGCATGGAGCAGATGATGCAGAGCCAAACTGAACACCGGTCTCTGCTAGCTAAGCTAACCATGGTCTCTGCTAGCTAAGCTAACCGCGGTCTCTGCTAGCTAAGCTAATCGCGGTCTCTGCTAGCTAAGCTAATCGCGGTCTCTGC